GGCAGGCATCTGGAAGTACAGATCATGTGGGACCAAATTGCAACACTGCGCTGCGCATCATGGTAGAACAGAGCATAGAATGGCAGTCAACCCTCTGCCTCAACTTCATCGACTTTCAAAAGGCCTTTGCCAGCAGTGACCGACAAGTAATTTGGAAACTGCTTCAACACTACGGAATACCACAAAACCTTATCAATCTGATTCAACAACTATATGAAGACGCCACATACCAAGTAATCATAATAGGAAGTTCACTGATGCCATGGAAGTGAAGACAGGAGTGAAACAAGGCTGTCTACTATTACCCATGATCTTCTGACTGTGATCAACTGGATCATGCAGCAAACCGTGAGGAGCGAGAAGATGGACATACGCTAGCTGGACCTATGAAAAGAGTCTAGAAGATTCAAATTTCACTGATGACTTGTGTCATGTGACTTGTGTCACTTGTGTCACAAAAACCTGAAGATCAACAGGAAAAACCAACAAGTTGACAGAAAAGGCGGGGCAGCGAAGACGGGACTTCAAGTGAATGTAGAGGAGATAGAGGAAATGATAATACCCAACCAACACCAACAACAAGCTCCAATCAGGATGAACTGGAGAAACTTGAAGGAAGTAGTCTCTTTCACCTATCTAGGCAGAATCGTTTCAACTACAGGCGGCACAGACGAAAACTTCACAGTCAGGATCGGAAAAGCAAGACAGGCATTCATTAACTTGAAACCAGTGTGGAGATCAACTGCACTGCACTCAACATAAAGCGTGAACAAGATCCCGATTTTCAACACCAGTGTCAAGTCAGTGCTTCTATGTGATGGTTGAGAGACTTGGCGCGTTATGAAAGGGATTTCCAGCAAACTTCAGACATTCATCAATAACTGCCTACGCTGTCTCCTTACTGAAGATCAGATGATCAGAATAATGAGAATAAGCAAGGAGGAACTCTGGCCTGGCAATGAACCAACCAAGAACCTATCACTCAACAAATATGCAGTGGGAGGAAGTGGAGATAGAATGTATTGGGCATGCACTGGGACATCACGTGTCAGGTCAGGCACTCGAGTGGAACCTAGATTGGAAATGGCGAGTTTGGCGTCCCAGCTGAGTGTGAGGAAGAAATGAGAGCTTGTGGGTTGTCGTGTAGCCAGGTTGAAAATACTGCAGAGAAGAGAGTGTAATGGAGACGTGCTACTGAAGCCATATGTTTCACTAGGAACCCTAGGGACAAATAATAATGATAATCAGATCTGTAACGCATACATTGGAGTGATTTTAAACGCCATTTTGTTAGCTTCATATAAACCAAGGAGGTCATTCTAGTAACTACTAAAATAGACAATCAGATTTCATAATTTAGACTCTGAAGGTAATTTTTCACAAAATAGAGTAACGTCATTGATTATCTTAGCATTTGTTAAGATGGCATTTAAAGTCACTTGTAATGGTATATTCCTAATGAGTTACACAGGAAGACCGAAAAGCCGGATTGTGGAAGTGTATGTAATTTAACTTTGACCAAGGTTCATCACTTGATATTTCCTCTAGTTATTATAGTATGATAAATGAATTTTTCTTTATATGTGATAGAATGTTTGTTTGCACCAGGAGGAGAATTCAAAGATTTTTATACTGAATCTATTTTTTTCCAATTCTAATGTAAACCTTATCACAGTTTTGGTTGTTTGTATTGAAATCTTAAAAGGTTTTACTCTTACAAAGATTGAAAGAGATCGAACCCGCGACGTTCAGGCTCCGCGACCAGCGCGTTACCATTGAGCCACTGGTGTCAGCCTTCGATGAATAACAACTTGAAATATTTCCAAATCTCCACAACCCCCTCAAAATTTAATTGAACTAGTGCTCGTTGGTGACTAGCTTCGAGAAGTATTCCCGAAGCTCCAATGACAAGTCGTGACCGGTGGAGTCAAAGCCTGATGGCCGTGAGGACAAATACTCAACGATGACATTGGGTGGCGGTTGCGCTATATATCGTGAGCTAACAGAAGTTGGAAATATGGAGCTTTGGATTCCGAGCCAGTGGCTCAATGGTAACGCGCTGGTCGCGGAGCCTTAAGGTCGCGGGTTCGATCCCCGCTGGTGGGGTCGTGGGTGCGCACTGCTGAGAATCCCATACTAGACGAAACAGCTGTCCAGTGCTCCCAGGTTTCCTTTGTTCCTCCAACTGATGTCAGCTTCGATGAATAACAACTTGAAATAATTCCAAATCTCCACAACCCCCTCAAAATTTAAAGATTGAAAGAGTATTGAAGGTAATTATTAACTATAGTACATATAATGAAAAACACTAAGGATAAAATAATCTGATCAACCACTCCAACAGCTTTAGCTTAAATCCAAGCCTTTTCTAGCCTATTCAGTACTCAAAGTTTTTTGCCTCAACGACTAGAATTGATACTACTCAAAAGTGTTTACCTAAAAAAATGATCATGTTAAATCTGATTGGTTTACTGGGGAAAAAAAATTATTCGTTGATAAGATCCATTCAGTTGTACATTTATTTGGTTGTTATATACCATTTTTGTTCAGAAACAATATGAAACTAGCTAATTGATGTAGTCATAGTTGTCAATTTACTTAACAAATGCTATTGTGAAATTGTTGTTATAGAATAATAACAATGAGATTTCATATGCCTTAGACAACCAATTCGTCTAGTAACTGAATCCACTTTCTTCCTTGTGTATACTTGTAGGAGTACTAGTTAATGCACTTAAATTCAGAATTATGATATACAGTATGGTGATATTAGAACTGATGAAATAACTGGTAAGTACACTGCGACGGATACACACACACACACACATACATACACATAAGGACCATCTTAACTGATTCTAACTCATGTTCAAGAGAATTAGCAAATTTCTTCCTCATTTACTTCCGGAATGTAATCTATTGTAGACTAGAAATTAGTTTATGAAGAAAAAAAAAGACCATTTTTCAAAAAAAATATTGACTTACCAGAAAATTACTTGATGATGATAAATAGCTTTACCATCTCATATATACATATACAAAATCTTTTCTATGTCTCAGTGTCTTGTAATGATCCTAAAAACTAATTATTATGTTCACTGAAAAGTTCATGTCTCCTATGTCGACGCAGAAATTGATTGACAGATTTGTAAAACAATTTATGTTCAATACGTAGTAATATGAATGAATGCCGTAAAAAAAACTAACTCAGTAATATGTTCAATTAAGAATCTATCTCAAAATCCATTAGACATCAATGTCATTTAGTTATGTAAAGATTCTTTGTGATTAATTTTAGCAAATTGATTAGCCTATCGTCCAAAGATGAATCATATAAGTGAAAAACTTGGGCACTGTGGTAGAATGTAATTCCATATTAGATTTGTTTATTTGATATATAGCGCACAGTGATACAGTATTATTTAATTGATTACGTTTCGAGCATAAATCATCATCGCTCATAATCATATCAGTGTAATCACACTTCTTTCGACATCTGATTTTATAGTCCTGTCACCTGATCTCTCTTTGTTTTTTGATTGGTAGTAAAGTTTTCCATATCTCTGGTATAGGTGTTACGTCATTCCTATTACATGTGTTGGTTGTGGATTCGATGAAGAAAGATTCAGTAATTCATCTTTCTCTCTCACCACCTAGCTATATTAGACTTAAGTACAGTGGTTTTGTCCCATCCTATTGTGTGGTTGTGTGTTAATGAGTGTAATGCAATGGCCGAGTGTTTTTCTAGATTATTGATCCTATTGGGGTCTGTCGTTCTATGTTTAGCTAAATTCCTATGTTCTGCTAATCTAACTGACTCCGACCGGTTAGTTCGACCTATGTATTTGACCTCACAGTCATTACATGGAATTTGGTAGACTATATTATTTTGCCTAATTGGTTCTATCGGATCGGCCATTGCATTACATTCATATTACGCACAACCACACAATAGGATGGGACAAAACCACTGTACTTAATTAAGTCTAATATAGCTAGGTGGAGAGAGAGAGAGATTAGTTACTGAATCTTTCTTCATCGAATCCACACCCAACACATGTAATAGGAATGATGCAACACCTAGACCAGAGATATGGAAAACTTTACTACCAATCAAAAAACAAAGAGAGATCAGGTGACAGGACTATAAAATCAGATATCGAAAGAAGTGTGATTACACTGATATGCAGTAATAATTTATGCTCGAAACGTAATCAAGTAAATAATACTGTATCACTGTGCGCTATATATCAAATGTTTCAAGTTGTTATTCATCGAAGACTGACATCAGTTGGAGGAACAAAGGAAACCTGGGAGCACTGGACAGCTGTTTCGTCCTAGTATGGGACTCCTCAGCAGTACGCACCCACGACCCCACCAGCAGGGATCGAACCCGTGACCTTCAGGCTCCGCGGCCAGCGCGTTACCATTGAGCCACTGGGTCAGAATCCAATGCTCCATATTTCCAATTTCTGTTAGCTCACGATATAGCGCAAACCGCCACCCAATGTCATCGTTGAGTATTTGTCCTCACGGCCATCAGGCTTTGACTCCACCGGTCACGACTTGTCATTGGAGCTTCGGGAATACTTCTCGAAGCTAGTCACCAATGAGCACCAGTTCAAAAATAAACAAATCTACTATGGAAAGATGAATCATGTTTGAATATTTATCAAAGTAATCAGTCTGCTATGAAGTATTGAGTTTTGAGAAGCGAAAATGTTTGACAATTTCAAGCTAACCAGATTATGTGAACACAAATATTTTCTTAACTATGTATAAATTATTGATAAACTGCATAGTGTAACTTAAGTGCGAGTGATATCCACTGTCAGATTTTCATTCATTCACTCACTCACTTTCAAATGCATATAGCATATCTGGATTCATGCATTTGTTCATAAACTATAGGTACGCTAACATTCAGGATACTTTCTACAAAAGTTTATGTACATAACTTTTAAAAAATGAAATGAAGAGCCATTGTATAAAACACTTACCTTGATCATCATCATCTTCATCATTATTATTGTCGTTAACTGATGAATTTTTCATTGTGTAGGTTGGATGGTATTCAGCTGTCTGCATTATATGTTCATCTGGTGATATATTACTTGGAAATAGTATTTTAGTTAATTCGTCTTGTTGACCACCAATCATTAATCCATCCTCAGCTGTGATACAGTTACTGTTACTACTGTTACAATTATCAGTAGTATCTTTTTTAAGATACAATTGTTTAAAGTTTATTAATGTTTTTTGACGTTTAGATCGATTATACATTAATAATATTGTAGATGTAATCAATAGACCAATTAAAAATATTGTTGAACCACCAAGTATGATACTGAGTACAGTTTTAGCTGAAAATGTACTTGTAGCAATGATTTTTTGCATACCACTTTCAGTGTTACTACTATCACTTTTACTAATACTGCCTAATCTTCCTGGATCTCTTAACAATACATCTGAATTTGATATAATATCATCTGATCCAAATCTCCAGTGTTTATCGCTTTGTTGATGTTTATCTTTTGTAACTAACAGTTCACTTATAGTTGGTTTATCTTCCAATTGAACGATTAAACGTTCCATTGGTATATGTCTAGAAATTTTACTTTCTGATGGTCCTTGATCATCAATTGATATAATCAGTATAATACTTGTACCACAACGATTATTCAACTGATCAGTATTTACAAATAATTCACCTGAAATGTTATCCAAGTGAAAAAGTTGTTCTGTATCTGATGGTGTTAAGATTAAAGTATAAGTAATAGTTCCATTTAAGCCTAAATCAGGATCATATCCTTGAATTTGACCAATTGAACTACCCATTCTTTCATGACATGATACGGTTAATCGATTACCAGTAGGTGCTGTTATGTTAGGAAATATAAATATTGGAATATTATCATTCACATCAGTTACATCAATAAATATCTCTGCTTGACTTGTTAAAACATGATTCCAGTATGTATTATTAGTAGTAGATGAATTAATTTGTAAATCATGTACCTGTACATAAAAATGATAATTTGCATGTTCTTCTCTATCTAAAGTATGCTGTAAGTATAATCCATTCTCTCTTAGAATAAAATATTTTTGTATTAATCCAGATTCATTAATATTATCAAGATTTTGACTGATCGATTTATTTATTTGTATTTCAGTATCATGATGAATTTGTTTTTTGCGCTGTCGTTGTTTTTGTTTAACTGTATTATTTGAACTTGTTAAATGTTGTATTGTTAATTGTGGTTCATTTAAATCATTCAAAAAATTAAATTTAAAACCATTATTACCTGAATCTAAATCGGATACAGTAAATAATAAGATTGGTTTATAATATTGTTTATTTTCTTCTAAACGAACAACATAAGTATCACGTTCAAAACGTGGTAGATTATCATTTACATCTTCTAGATCGACTATAACATTTGTACATGTTGAATGTAGACCATCATCAGCACAGACACGAAATTCTAATCGTGATCTTTGTTCCCGATCCAATTCACCCTGTGTATATATTTGACCAGTTATTGGATCTATAGAAAATAATTGATAATCTAATGAATGAATAATATAGTTGGAATTAATAGATTCATTGTTAACTGATTTCATTTCACTTGGTTCTAATCGATATCTAAGTGAACTATTCAAATCAGGATCTGTAGCTGAAACAACTGTTGGATAAGTACTGCTAGCTGGTCGAATTAATGTTCCTGGTTGACTATTTTCAGCTACACGAAATTGATAGACATTAAGTGGAAAACTAGGCGGTAAATCATTTACATCAATAAGATGAATAATTAAAGATTTTGAATTGTATAACATTGGTTCACCCATATCATTACATTGTAGTATAATAAAGTATTTGTCAGTATGTTCACGATCTAACAGGCTCAATGTTTCAATACCATATAAACCGGATAATTCACGCAGATTAAATTTTTCTGTCCAGTTTAATAATTGACATGATATTTGACTATTAACGCCTGTATCACGATCCATTACATTAAAGAAAACAATTGGTGTACCCTTAGGAATATTTTCTTTAATCCATATTTCATAGGGTTTATTAATTACCGTAGGTTTATGATTATCTGTAAAATAATGATTTATACTGGATAAATGTCTCTGATTTAGATTAATATAATCTTTTTCAAATAGTATTACAGGTGGATTATCATTGACATCAAGAACAGTAATGTCTATTAATGCTGTAGCTGAACGAATTATTTGTGATGTTGTCTGTAATGGAATTGTAGAAGATTTTGAAGTGATAATAGACTTTCCAGATGGACTATCTTGTGCTATGATTGTTAATCGATAACTTTTTACACTTTCATAATCTAAAGAGTTTTTTAAAGTTAAAATACCTGTATTTGAGTCTAAATTGAATATATGTGTTACATCCCAATTTACTTGAGTTGAACTAAATTGGTAGGTGATTTTATTCTCTATCCCTGATGTTGGTAATAAATCATGATCAATAGCTTTCAATTGTCCAATTTGACTACCAATTTCAAGTGATTCTTTTACTTTATATTGTCTTTTATAAACTTCTTGAGTGATTAATGATGAAAGTAGATTAAATGATTCAATTTTACCAGTATATTCTGAATCAATAAAAACTGGAGGGAATTCATTTACATCATCTACTTCAATAATTAATTGAATTGAACCACATAGATTTCCACCATCTTGAGCAAATAAACGTAGTCTGTAGATTGATTGATCTTCATGATCTAATTCATGATCAAGTTGAAGTAATAAATTCATTTTATTTTTTGAGTAAATAAGACGAAATGGTCCTAATTTCGACCAAATTTGATCATTTGAACTAGTTAATCCAGATATAACTGATGATTTTGAAGATGTAATAAATGTAGAAGTTTGATAGGCATCATTATGAATACCTTGATTTATATTATCCCATTCAATCCAATAATTTTTAACTTGATTCTCTGGTGAGAAATCAGCATCGAATGCTCTAGGCAAATCATGTCTTGTACCAACACCTAATGGACCTTCTAAAAAGGATAAATGTATTGATTTCATTTGATAATGATTAGACTGATAATTTGTAGTATATCAAATTGTGGAGGATTATCATTCAAGTCCAAGATATTAACATATAATTTAGCTATAGGAGAAATTTGTGCATCATTATTTGTTGAAGCAAGAATAAATGACATTAATTTACATTGTTCAATTTCTTGTACTAAATCATTAGAAAATACTGAATAATAATTATGCTTATCTTCAGAATATTTATTATCCAACTCTATAGACATTTGTTCATATTGATGATTTGGACAACAAGATTTCTCTGTATCACATAAACTTTTCGACTCTAAATCAATTAATGCTGTACTAATTAAACTACCAGTATGATTATCTAAACGAAAATACTGTGTTAATGAACCTGGACCTAATTTCATATAACCTGATGCTGGTATCCCAAGTAGATTGCGAAGATCTGATAGAATGACAGTACCAATAGTTATATTTTCATAGACTTGTATTTCTGGCAAATTACTATGATATGTATAACACATACAGACAGATAACATAATGATAAGACAATATAATGCAAATATTTTACATGAAATAATTCGTATATACATGAAATATATCCAGTTCATTATATTTTTGTTTGTATAAATTTTGAGAATAAATTATTCAATTATATAGCAGTTAATAATATTCCTTTCAAGAAAAAATTTTTTTAATCCTAATATACATTGAAGAAATTAGTTATTTTGCCTATTACATTTGTTTGAATAATAAAAATTAAATTAAAAATATAATAATAGTAATAAATAAATGATTATAGGATAATCTTTACACGTTCACCAGTGGCCAATCAAATCAATCGTTAATTAATTGACCAATCAAAAGTTTAGTGAGAATTTTTGTCCCAACCAATCATGATAAAGAAAAAGACAGATTAAATAAATGTACACATACATGGGAAAAAAAAATCTTTGTAACTTCAGCTTGTATTAGATAATCGTATCTTAGTGGAAATATAAATTATAACTTTTTACTTTGTTACAACTGCCAATAAGACGACTGAGATTAAAGAAAATGTTCATGCCATACTACTACTACGATCTGGTATTCATCACGTGTGCTCTTTATAGCATTTTACTGTCAGGATTCAGAGGTATAAATATGGTAATAAGCATTCTCTTTATGCATTACAGATAATCTGAACTGGGGGAGGTTTTGAACCAGTGGCTTAGTCTGTAGCTGAGTCCGATAACTTAATTGGTCAACCATTAGGCAAGAAACCCGGAAGTTGCTTGTTCGAATCCTGCTGTGGACTAGGTTTTCACTTCACCTTCAGTCGTCACACGATAACAGTACCAGTCTGCTAAACGACGACAGTCAAACTGGTGATATAATTTCATACAATTCTTTCGCTGGATAGATTTGAATAAGGGGAAAGCAATAGTTTGAGCAAAATAGCATGCATCTATTTTATTTCACGGTTTCTCATCAGATGCTTACAAACGTAAACAATCTCAAAATCATATTACATAAGCGTTTGCATACTTGAATCAGTTCGACATAAAACTGACGGTTTCAAATAAAGATAACATTGAAGTGGTGGAGAATATTTGTAGCTCATGTGGATAGTCTTCCTTGTATTGTGTTCTCTCGGTTGGGTTGTTGAATCGTGAAGCTTTCATCGTCTTGCTAAATAACCTCATCAGCAATAACTTTAGTATGAAGTGAGATGTCAGTGTCTCTCCATGAGTTATTTAGTAACATGTCTTGACCAACTGGTTTGTGATTGGATGTTTCCATTGATTTCGTGTCATTGACGGCATAGATTTTCTCGTTGGCTGTTCATCTCCTTGACCTTTGACCTTTCTGTCGCTTGTTATTTTTCCTAATAATTGATAGATTAGGGCTTTGTCTATACATCTATTGACTGCTGACTGAATGACCTGAGTGCCAAGTTTCTAAAAATTCTCTGATATTCTTTGTGTTTCCTCTGTCCGAGATTTCTACGTTGTGGAAATTGAATTCATGTCCATAGTTGTTATCCATGTACATTGAAATGAGTGATGAAACGTCGTGACGTTTGATAGCAGTAACTTCAGTATGAAGTCGTCTAGTAAGACGGTGAAAGCTTCATGACTAAATAACGCAGCTCAGAGAACACAATACAACCATGAAAGATAACATTGATGTGACGTAACTGAAGAAACACGAAGTGAATGAATAAATATGCAGAACTACTTATAGTGAGTTTGTCAGGATACGGAAGGATTAGATTAGTATTCTAGAGCGGAAGTTAAATGGGAGAAAGAAACAGATGTATTCAACATATTGAGAAAGGTTACATAAAATATGTACCCTGATCAAAGAGAGTATCCCATCACCTTTTTACTCATAAGCATTGTCAGTGTACAATTTCACTTTAGCAAAGTTATACTTCGTCATATTGATGGAGTTGCGATAAGTAACCTCTTGTGTCCCAATATTATCTGATATCTTTATGTGGAACCTTGAACGTACAAGTATAAAATAGGTAACCAACCGGCCAACCTCGTACAGTAGGTATGCTGGTGATATATTCGTTACTTTGCAATAACCTGAAACATTTCTCATATCTCTTTAGTTCATTCAACAAAACACAAAAAACATAAAATACACAATGGGACATATGAACAGGATCTAGAAATTCAACAAACTATAGATAGTAATTAAGTTAAACGTATCCATCCTAAAGATTCTTGGAGTGGAATATATCTTCAATTCAATCAGCTTTTGTTCTATTAATCATAAGAAGGGACTGGTGAAAACACTGTTTACTTGGATAAGATATGCTTTTTAAAACAGACATCAGAAAAATCGTCTTCATAATAACGGATATCACCAGAAATTCATCAGTAAGCATAAGAATATACTGACTAAAACTGTAAATTGCAATATAGTCGATAAGAAGCCTATTCTCCTACATCTTAGTTCCGAAGGTGATAAAACTTCCAGGATAATTAATGTTGCCTTGAAAACAAATTATCCAGTTGTTAGGTTAACCGCAGTCTACCGAACAAATTACTCATTGAGATAATCAAACTGTTGATAAGTTCTTTCTTTATGTCACCTCCAACTGTATATGCCAACTCATATGGACGTGTAGAAGCAGATACATTGGAAGAACAGTGTGTTTGACCATATTCCAAGGAATTCGCAACCAAAAGATAGGAACATCTTTAACAGCGCTTTTATTTGCCACTTGATTAATAGTAGACATGAAGTTGATATTCAGAAATTGTACAAAATAATTAATCAACCAATGAATTCGAAATTGTTACCTTTCCTTGAAGCATTAACCATTAAACGATTAAAACTGAACTGATGCCTAGCATGATAAAAATTTTTGGGTTGTTGACAATTATTGCTGGGTGATGATTGAAGGTGAAAAGAAGATTTCGACTGCGGCCGGATTCGAACCAGCAGACTTCATGCTCAATCATCACTCAGTATCAATACCAATCGGCCAAATCATCGCTATCTCATATAGTCAAAAAGATAATCAATATGATGCTCTTTTTCTCTAATTCACTTAGATTTGGATTGGCATGGGAAGTCCAGACTAGGCAGGCAGTGTGAATACGATCAAGCGGTAGTAGTGCGTCACGAATTCTCATGGTAGTCTAGCAAAAGCCCTTGGTGATTGAAGTGAAATAAAAATCTGGTTAGCTGTCAAGCCTCGTAGTTCAGTTGGTAGAGGATCAGACTGGAAACCTGGTAGTCACTAGTTCGAATCCGGCCGCTGTCCAGATTTTCATCTCAACCTTACTGTCTGAATCTTATTCATAACATAAGTGTTACGCCCCTATTTTACACATATTTTATCTAACCTTTCTTATTATGTTGAATACATTCGCCTCCCCCCTTCTATCCAACTTCCATTCTAGAATACTCATCTAATCTTTTCATATATTGACAAACTTACTATTAATTCTGTTTGTAGGTCTATGGAGATTTAATAATTGACTTTAGGTTAGAGTTCATCATGAACTGACATTAGTTGGGGGAACATTGGAAACCTGAGAGCACTGGACAACCGTTTCGTCCTAGTATGGAACTCCTCAGCAACGCACACTCATGACCCCGACGCGAATCGAATCCAGTACCTTCAGGTTTCGTGGCCACCACGGGGTTATGAGTGCGTACTGCTAAGGAGTCCTATTTATTCACTCACTATGTATTTCTTCAATTACATTATATCAATGTTATCCTTATTTGAAGCAGACAATTTTGTATCGAGTTGATTCAATTATGCAAACATTTGTGTAAATTGATGTTGAAGTTGTTTTCTATTGTAAACATCTAATTAGAAACCATGAAATGAGATGGGTTCATGGTATTCTCCTAAAGGTGTTTTTATCTGTTTATTGACCGTAACCCCGGTGATAGCCAGATCGGATTCTGTCGCCGACTAAATTTTCATTTTATTTCCAACCATCACTTAGCTGTTCACTTTACCTAGTTATTCACAATTTCTCAGACTGATATTTATCAGTGATGATCTACTGCTTTTAAATCAACAAAATCTTCATAAATATCCAAATAAAACAAACAAAAGTCTTGAAAGACGGAAGCATGAAGAATGTCAGAGAATTTTTAGAAGCCTGGCTTTAAGATCAGTCAGTGATCGATAAAACATATTGACAACCAATAATAAACACAAGAAACAAGATGAATTTCACAGTTCCAATCAGTGGGATAGCAAATCGAAGCATATGTTTAGTCAATGAGAAGATTACTCCAAAGCAAACCAATAATACCCCATATCCTCGAGAGTGGGAAGAATTTTAATGGTTGACTTCTCTTTGTATTATGCGTAGATCATGTTATTTAGCTCAAAGAAAATGAAACCAATAAAGTCCTCTTTTTGTGCTACAAATACTTTCCCACATATTATCATTATTATTTTTCCTTTGGGTTCCTAGTGGAGCATAGGGATTCAGTTGCACGTCACCATTTCAATGTCTTCTCTGCAATCTCTTCTACGTAGCTCCACAACTGCCCACAAGCTTTCATTTCTTCCACATACCATCTCCTCTATGTCATCCTCAGCTGGGGAGCCCAGCTTGTCATTCTCCTTAGGCTTTCGCTTGATGGTCTGGCCTGGCTTGACGTGTGATGTCTCCAAATAGTCTTCTCAGTGTATGTCCAATCCATCTCCAATTTCTTCTTCCGCATGTTTATTGACCGACAAGTTGTTGGTTGGTTCGTTGCCAGCCAGAGTTCCTCCCTGCTTATTCTTATTATTCTGGCCATCTGGTCTTCATTATTGAGTAAGCGTAGGTGGTAGATGTTGATCTAATGTATGTTTGTAGTTTGTTGGAAATGGTTTTTGTAACGCGCCAACATCTTAAAAATCTTTTATACATATATGTCTTTTAAATAACTGCCACGCTTCAATCAGATTCACACTAGAGAAGGAACTTAATTCTTAGATATCTTTCTTAGACGTGCAGTTAAAAAGATGAGACAGTGAAATGCTCGAAAGATCCATCCACAGAAAATCCATATGCAATTGACAACTCATGAAATTTTCATAGTTGGGTGCCTCTATGCACCAAAAGAAATTTAATTCGCTCCTTATACCATAGGATCCACACTAT